GGCCTCTCATTCGGGCCGTTGTGCGTGTAGAGCCAGGCTACTAACGTAGCCAGCCAAGCTCCTCCCAGAAGCGCAGAAGTCTCCTGGTGTCTTCGCAGGCTTCTCGGAGCGACCTCACCGTTCCGAGGATTTGATTTCGTTGTGTGGTCACTGCTTCGCACTCCAGGATTAAAACAAATACTAGGTCGTTTCATTGTAGACAAAGACACATCAATCAAATTTATATTATTCGACTTTAAACTATTAATGTCGTCTTTAGATTGCTTATGATTATCTAATCTTCTTTAATTAGTAAATATATAATTACAGACAATTTCATTACATATGGAAATTAGTAATAATAATAATAACCCTGGTCATTCACACGTGTAATATTTCTGTCGACACTCGGGACCCTTCCGTTAGTAACCCTCCAGATAATATAGATTTAAGTTAAATTAAAAATCAGTCCACATCCGACTTCGAGTTGAGTGTACGAGTTACGAGTTACTATAAGCCATGTCCAATAAATAGTACATTTATTTCACCGGTATACTCACTATCTAGATACTCTAATGAATATTATGTAGAGACACCTTATCACATCTTATACAATGCTACAGTGGTGAGGTGAGAACCACCGCGTTACACACATCCCAAGGTAAGCAGAGCTTGTGTTATGGGTACTAGACAACTGATATACATTTTTTTGTAAATACATACACAGAAAACACACAAACCTTCGAAGTAAAGTGGTGTGTAAACCGCTAGACCACCGAGGCCGTCAAATAATACAAATAATAACCCTAGACAATTCAGTGTCGTATAGACCCGTAGCAGAACTTGTGTTATGGGTACCAGGCAACTGATTCCCGCCGCCATAAGAATTATCTAAGCGCTAATCTAATCGCCACCACTGAGAGCCACTACCAATCGCTACCACTGAGATACGGACTGAAGTATTAGTAAGTATTATGGACTGAAGATCTTATTGCTAGCAATGTACCATGTCATGTTGCCCTTCACGCGGTTCCCCTTGGAAACCATTGTGATAAATTCTTAGTGAAATATCACGATGAGCTGTCCTGCCTACAATTTTATCTTATCATCCCCTACTGGTGCTCCGTTAAAACCGCACAGACGGGTGCACCATTCCATTATCATCCTAAAAAAAATACAACCGTCCGGGGGTAGGGGATTGTTAGTAATACAGAGTAAAAATGTCATTGCTAGCAAAGTACCAAAGAACATGAGTCGCCTTATGGAAACCATAGTAGGAAATTGCCATTAGGCGAGACCTGACTCTATGCTCATTTTATCATTCTCAACCGGCCAGTGTAAACCGATAGCGCCTGCACCATCGGTTTACACTGGCCGGTGTATCATTACATTATACTCTATAAAAAAAAATTTGCCCGAATAATGAATTCTACCTAACTCGCACATCGCTAGTTTTAGTTAAATCTGAATAAAAATACATAGAGTTTGTTTTAAATATCTTTATTTTTTGTTAATAAAGGACTTCTCGTCCACATAAACAACTGTGTAAAAGAAATGCCTACACGGGTAATTACTGGTGTATATGTTCTGTTTAAATATCGGCTATAGCTTATGATAAATAACGATTCTGAAGTTTCAGTCGAACGTTTGTATAATCTACTACAAACTGTAGTTATACAATTCAACATTGTTGTATTTCGAATAATTTTTATAATATAGAATATTTTCATTACAGAAAATAATTGTTGGAGTATAGGACGCTATAAAGACAATAGTGGGTTTTATTTGTATCTAATTCTTCATTAATTATATAAGGGTTACATCTCTATTACATATACTAACTTTAAAAAACAAACCAGTGTTCTTAAAAGAAATTAAAAATTGACTAAAAATTGATTCTTACAAAGTCCATTAATTTCACGCACATCTCGTTACTATAATAATGACACTAGTAACAAAACGCACAGATACTAATTAAAAAAAAAAAATGCGAACTTTCACCATAATTACCCGTGTAGGCCGGGGGAGTAATAGATATAATTAAAAAAATATATAAGTATACTAAACTCCACTACAACTGAATATAAATAAAAAATCTTTCCTTTAAACTAAACTCTGCTTATCGCCTGTTCGTAGTAAAGATGGATACCCAGATACAAGATTTCAGGGTCTATTACAAGGTCCATTCAAATACCCTGATTTATAATGTATAGACGATATTTAATTACATATTGCAATACTGTATTTACAAAAATATTGAAATATTTTATTATATATGTTTGGACGAAACCAGTGGTACACGTGAGAAAGTGCTTACAAACGCAAAATAGTCATTTTTAATCCACCGCTCATTCGGAAAGCTGTCTCAACAACAAGAAGAACGAGCAAGAAACTTGAGTGTTGCTCTTTCAAATAGTATAGTTGTAAGGAAGTCGCACATTTGTACAACACAAAACTGTAGGTAAAATTTAATTATAGAAAATAGACTTTATACTTAGTGCATATTAAGGTCTCTTTCCAATATTTGCCATTTTTGAGTTAATGCAGTTTAATTTTAAGCGTACGATACGCAGAAATGAATTCAGCTCATACGGTATGTATGACAGATAATTTATAAATATATGAAACTAGGAATCACTGGTTTCGCTGAAACATTCTTATAAGTTTTTGACACAATGTTTGTACACTTTAATTTTGTTTAAGGGTCATTACGACTTGTCTATGCCTATTCCTCATAAGGCTAGCGCAGACGTCGAAAACTTTATTGCTAGTCAAAATCAACATTATTGAATTAGATCCTGATAAAAATACACTAATAATTTTCACCGTCTGCACTAACACTTAAACCTCGTTCGGACTGCTTTCTTAACGTTAAAATCATGGGCAATATTAATAGTCGCAAGGGTAATGGGCACACTGATATGAAATGGAAATCGAGTTAGCTACACACGAGCCGAAATCTCTCCACTACTGCTATTACCCATGATTTTGGTATCGTGTGTAGATGGTTTGTATTAAGCCAGCTCGAACAAGGAATTTAGATTCAAAGCTAAATACATAATAATAAGTAACAAAGTTGCGTTTCGTTGTATCAGTGGGAAATATATGAACAAGTTTGTGGCGAACCAAGCGCTTTCAATTGACTCAGTTTTTGGACGGTATTGCAGGCAACGATATTTATGAGGTAATTAGAAATGGATAACAAGATAGAATAGTGATAGAATTTATGAAATTGAACTACTTGTGCGTAGAATTAAAGTCGAAAATAATAATATCATAAAATTGACAGTTTGTTACTTTTTTAGGACTCAACACCTGAATGGCTATTAATGAAATTTAATATGAACATACATTATATCATAGGGAAAGAGAGATATATATATTTTATATATAAAAAAAAGTCAAGTCGCCGGTACCAGTTAGTAAAAAAAAAACAATACCTTGATACAAACTGCATGGTGCTGTTTCAATATGGTATTAAACCATTAAAATATTTTCCATTGTGAAAGTGATATCATGGATATAACATACTTAACATTTGGTTTGGTATACTTTTTATTTCTATTCCCGTATAGATACATGGAATCGAATTTTCCTGTTACTTCTCTTTAATATATAAAACTCTCGTGTTTGTTACCAAACTCCTCTACCTACCAAATACAGCTTTACTGATTTTTATGGAATTATTAATTTTTATTTTATTATGTAAATCGTAATAAAATAAAAATAAATAATTTAAATTGAATTTGTTTTATACATATAAGTTCAAATTTTCACCCATCAATTCTTATTTTTTACTAGAAATAAACTATATTGTTATTGATATGTTTAACTTTTAATTGGTATATATTTTGAGGATTGGTAGTTGACGTTTTGGCTATATTGTTTAATTATTTATTAGTAACTAAAAAGAGTTGGTACACGTAGCCGAAACTGCTAAATAAAAAAATAACTGAAATTACGTCTTTAAAACTTTAACTTTAAGGTCGACTTTTTAAATTAATTTTATTATTTGCTAGTTGCAGTATTCTAGACTACCATAATGTCTATGGTTTAAAAAAAATGTTGATATATTTCCCGCGCTGACCTTACGCCACACTTTATATTAAATACATTAGTTACTAGTATTACACGACGGATTGACACATTTAAGTAGTAGACACGTTTGATGAGACTAGTTACGTGTCCATTTATACATATAATTTATAAATATATATTATATCATTAATTTAGGACGAATTTAGCCCGCACTGACGAAACATAAAGAAATGATAAAACCCGATATAGTATTCGTCATTTATGTTCATGTAACAATTCACAACTTAGTTGATGCGAAACAAATATTTTCTGTATAAACTACGAACGTAACTAATAAAATTCACTATAATTACAGTCTGCAGTACTTAAAAATCGTTTACAATTTTTTTAAAGTACAAAATTATTATGATAAAAAATATAATGTAGTATATTTAGTTTAAAACATTTATTTACAAGCCTAAATTATCCCAACTGGCAAGTACTAAATATAATACTGTATATAAATTATATATTTTAATTAAACAATATAACCTAAATGTATTTACAGTTCTTTCCGAATATACAATGACGATGCTAATCAAAAAAAAAAAGAATAATCGAAACGTGATATATATGAATTGTCTTACAATTACATTTAAACTAGAATCGACTAAAAGGCCTTATATTTACTGAGGCCATTATTGAGGACTTGTCAGTCACATTGACTATAACAAACATAAATGAATTATAACATTTATAGGTGTTCATGCTACCTTACTCTTTAAAACAAATTTCTAAGATGTACTTCTTTATATTTATATATATATGAAGTCGCATCCGCTGTCTGTTCGACTATTCAACGGATTTTAATGCAGTTTTTAGCGATAGATAGTGATTCAAGAGGAAGGTTTATATGTATAAAACATGTACACCCATTATAATGAAATCGATTTTAGGTTAATGAACTTAATAAAAGGTACAAATAAAAATTGTTAACCGTCTTAATTTTTTTATATATGTATATATAATGATCGATGTAGTATATCTTTTATATTTTGGACCACATTCTTTGCAGAAAATTATTCGATTTTATGTCACTGGGTATTTTATTAGTAGATATATAATAGAGCATAACTGTTCTCGTTATGTATGTTGGTCCTTCGAGCCGGACACTACTTTTGATTTAATGTTATATACAAAATGTAGGTTACTTTTAACAATGACTATATGACATATATTTTCATAATACGAATAGAAATCTATTTTAAAGACAAGGAACGCATCATTTCAGTAAATTCTATCCGACAATTGCTTACTGTTACTCAGTCATGTATCATGAACATAATTATAATAATAATATTGATCACACTTTTGTGTATTGTCGTGTACTCGATTCGAGACTACTACTGGTTTAGTAGCGAGTTTTAATTGATCATAAATAATTTAAAAATAGTTGACAGGATTGCCAACCGTCTAGGTATACATAAGTTGATGATTTTATAGTACTTAGATATAACGCTTCGTTTGATTTGTCTTTAAAACCTCACCATGTAGTGTACATGAAATCGAAACTGACCGAGCCTCTATATGACCGTACACTGCAGAGTGGGGCTTTCAGTCTATTTACAATATCAAGTTATTGCTCCGTATCTGTACACATATAATTATATAACACTATGGAAGTCACCGATCACTCGAATTTTGACACAAACTGTTTAGGTCAAGGACAGCGGACGATCGACAGGGAACGCCGCAATCGTTAAAACTTGGCACATCGCTATGACTTCTTATCGAACAGCGGAAGCTTGGACTTGACCGCGCCCTCGCATATCATGAGTCTCTGCTGCGCCGGACACTTGCGGCAGGCGTCGTCCGGCAGCAGCTCGAGGCGGCCGCCCGCGCCGCGGTGCTTCACGTCCACCAGGTACTCCTTCTCGCTCCGCTCGCCCTCCTTGCCCTTGAACTGCAGCATCTCCACCTTGCTGCCGAGCGCGCTCATCTTGAACCGCGAGTGTCCATTGGCGGTGCGCTCGCACGTGAAGTCGGCGCCCTTGCGCTCGAAGTACTCGACGATCTTGGAGATCTGCGCGGAGCGCACGTGGCGCGGCACGCGGTCGTCGCAGTAGAGGCTGTCGGAGCCGGCGAGCGAGGCGACGTCCTCCGAGCTGTCCGTGTAGACGCTGGGCGGCCGCAGCCGGCGCGCCAGCGCGTCCGCGTCCAGCGCGTCCGGCGGCCCGCAGCAGCAGCGCGTCAGCACGTGGTACTCGCGCGCCGCCTCGCCCTCCGCCTGCAGCTTGCCGCACAGGAACGGCGACGCGTCCTCGCGCGGCTCCTCCAGGTCGTCGAGGCTGCGCAGCGAGCTCACCGTGGTGGTGGACAGCGCCGAGTCGTCCAGCACGGCGGGCCGCCGGCGCGGCTGCCCGTGCACGCCGCGCTCGTACAGCGCCACGCAGTCCGCGCACACGCGCACGCGCCCGCGCTCCGGCTCCGGCTCCGAGCCGTCCGGCGAGCGCGCCGGCTCGTCGAACTCGTCGTCCAGCGAGCGGTCCGAGGCGGCGTCGCGCCACCAGCGGCAGCGCTGGCAGCCCATCAGCGAGCACGGGCACATCGCGCCGTAGAAGCACTCGGCGCCCGGGTGCTGCGGGCAGAAGTCCTCGTTGGCGACCGAGAAGATGCCGCTCTCGCAGGAGCCGCGGCGGCGCAGCTCCTGGCTGGAGGCGCCGCGGCGCAGGCCGGGCGGCGGCGGCGGCGGCGGCGGCTCGGCGCGCTCCAGGCTGCCGCGCCGGCTCAGGCCGGGCGACGACGGCAGCGAGGCGCAGCGCGGCTCGTCGTCGGACAGCCCCAGCTCGGGCTCGCGCGGCCGCAGCAGCGGCGACGGCAGCTCCAGGCAGGAGGAGAAGGGCTGCGCGCGCGAGTGCGGGTGCGGCTCGAGGATCTTCTTGACGCCGCGGAACGAGTGCAGCGGGCGGCGCGCGGCGTGCGGCGCGGCGTGCGCGTCCCGCAGCAGCATGACGTGCGCGAGGCGGTGCAGCCGCGCCAGCCGCGCCGGCGGCTCGGGCCCCGCGCCCAGCGCCCACGCCGACCGGTGCGCGCCCCCCGCGCCCGCCCCGCCCGCCGCGCCGCCCCCGCCCGCCGACACCCACTCCAGCTCCGACAGCGAGCGCCGGTGCTGCACTGCAACACGCCAAGCAACCTTCACTCACCGGTCGCTATCACGTGTACGTCGCAGTAGCGTTTCAGGCGACCATAGGCTACGGTAACTGTTCATCAGATACTTCAAACCAGAACCGGACCTAACACTGATCCTTGCGAAACACCCATTTTAATGTTACATATTTCAGATTTCGTCGTCGCCGTCAATATTTACATAATGGAATAGTCCATAATGTATCTTATCTACAGAACATAGGCTCCGTAGATAAGATTTAATTACTTAAAGTGATTATCTGTAACACGTGTTCGAGCTTATGCAAAATCGTTATGAAATATCTTTGAAAGACAACAAAAAACTCTATCTAAAGTCTATCTAGTCATTTCTCACAGGAATTGAATGATTAATTAGGGTTATGTTGTTTTATGTTAAATCATACTGGCACTTTGACTGCAGATAATTTGGAAGTTGCGGAGCAAGTCCTTCAGGAAATCATGTAATAGTACAAAGAAGCTTAATATTTTTAAAAATGAATTACGACACATTATTATTCACTAAATTCATTCAAAGTTTTATAATAAAATGCTTAGACCTGTAGTACTGCGACCTACAAAGCTCGCTACCTAGACCCGTCAGGGACAAGAATTAAAGGATATTCTTAGGAGCGATGGTTTTTATCTCCTCAGGATAGAGTGTATTCTTTCCATAGGAAATATTTCGGTTATACATGGACTACAACTTAATACTGGTCAACATATATATATCCCTGTAATGTTGTAGGGAATGAGCATTCAGCACTGCTTATCCTAAAGTAAAGGATTTTTCCTATTTAGGGAGCAGGGTTTCACCTTATATCTTAGGGTTAAAATGTAACATTGGACTGTTAGAAGATAAGATCAATATATTTATGTACATTTTGTCAGTTTACTATCATCTGTAAAGCCGAATTTACACTCAGCCCGAGTGGGCAGGGAAGTGAGCGCGAGAGTGTAAAAACGTTACTTCCCATGCCATTGGCGCTGCCACTCGCGCTACCCGGCGCTCCCTCGATTGTCGATTTTTCGTGCGCGAGTAGCAGCGTGTGTACATTCAGCCCTCTCGCTCAGTTACCTTGAGAGTGGCAGGGGAAGCGGCTGAACGTAAACGTAGCATAATACACATCGTCTCACCCGACAACATGGTATTATTGCCCCGCAATACTTATCAATAAAAAAATAGTGTGGTACTAACGTGGGTCCCGGTCGGCGGGCGCGCGGGCCCGCGGCCGCCACGCGGACAGTCCGGGGCACGAGCGCGGGCCCGACGACTCCGCCTCGCGACTCTCGCTGCACGCACCGACAAACAAACAAACCGTACATTAATACACCAACACAACTTTAATTTCATTTCATTGCATACCTACGACAGTTCATTGAATAATAATAATAAACTAGGTTCGTTGCCGTCATACGTTGTTTATTTTTAAAAACCTTTTAGAATTTTTTTGAGCGGTATGGAGTTCCAGATGTGGACTTTTTTAAAATTTTAATCTCGATCGATTAAGCCGCTTCGGAGGAGTTACGAGGAGCGCAAATCTGATCTCTATGATCGCTGTGCGTTCACTCCAGTATATAGATTCAATTGAGAAGAACTGGCAAGAAACTCGACTGAATCTCATTTTTTAAAGCTTTTTTATTTACATTACATTTACATAAAAAGTATAAAAGTAAGTTTATTGTACAAAAAACCGTTACAAAATAGACTTAACGAAGTTTCTATACCTTGTAGGTATATATACTGCAAGTAGTTCCTAAATATTATTTAATATACAAATCGCATATATATATATCTAGATAAAAGCAATGACTCAAATAAGGTTTCGGATGATCATAATTACCATACGCGAAATAAACAAAACAGTTGTCAAATGTACCTTTCATAAGAGTTGTTGGGGGTGTGGCATCCCCAGGCGGCATCGTCGAGGCCCTCCTTCACCTCGGCTAGCTTGCTCACTATTTCCGGGAATAGTGGCCGCGCCTTAGGCTCGTACTGTGGACATTTATTTATTTATAACATATAGCTCTTTATAGCACCAGATAAATTACAGGGATCAAAATTAACAGAGAAATAGGGTACAAATCGTTTATACTATCTCTTTCAGACAGCCTTGTAAGACGTTTAGTGTTTTATTACAAAGCCTTATAGCTTCTTTTCGGCTGCGTCATATATAGGATAATAAATATGCGAAATGAACACTCTGTATAATTTTGGTAATGTTTTAAACAGGTTACTATAAGCCTGCACTTTAAAAATAACACCAAATGATCTAATTGCCTTTAATTCTACATATAGTAAGGGAGGAAGTGAATTGTTAGTAATGTGGATTAATAACCCTATCACTATCCCATGGAACCAAAACATTAACCTTAGCCGTAAGTATGTTGTCATAGCACTTAGATTGCGTTCAGGACACATTCCATCAAACAGATTTGGATTTCTCATGAAAAGAGTAGACTCCCCTAATTGTCAAACTTGTGGTGGTATTGATGATGTTCAACATCTGTTGATGGAATGCGTCAAGAACAACACTGAAAGGCAAATCTTACTAAAAAAAATAAATTTAAACAAAATTAATTTAGGAATATTTCAGAGTATTTTATCAGAACCTACATCAAAAGAATCGGTATTAATTTATAAATTTGTAGATAAAAGTAGGTAAGATTTGTTTTTATAGTAATTTAAAGTTTAGATGTTATGTAATTGATTAAGAAGACAACACGAAGCTAACATGCTCACAGCTGTGCTAATCTCCTAAATAAATAAAGAGAAAAAAAAACCCATCTCTAGCAATACACCATGTCAGGTTGACCTGCACATGGATCTTCCTGGAATCCAGATCCAGAATTTTAGTGTCTGACGGGTGGTACAGTTGTGAAACTCAGCAGCTTGTATTAATCTGAACAATTCCTCAGAACACTCACCGTGATATATGCGGTAAAAAATGCACAGATGTGCTATATCTCGTCGAAAAGACAATGGGTCGATTCCGTCATAAAGACGTTGATTACCAATGTTTTTTTATGCATACAAGCATACGGCCCATTTGATGGTAAATGGTTACCGTAGTCTAGGGACGCCTGAAACACCAGGGGTGTCACGTGCGCGTTGCCGACCATCAAAAAATCTTAATATAGCCCTCTTGAAAAACCTGGCTGATGAAAATGATTCTGTTTGCTGTGTTCTGCATGCGGTACAACTACAAGATCATCGCTAGTGCGCATAAGCCGCAGTGCACTCACAATGCAGCAGTTGAACGCCAGCCGAAGGAAGTCAGGCACGGTGGTCTCGTCGCACAGTTCCACGAACGCCATGTAGTTGAGGCCGAAGTTGTCCGTGCGAGGCAGCACGTCCGGGTCGGCGTCCACCTTCAAATAACACAAAACTCGTTAACAATATTAAGACCGCGTGGAATTTAACTTTATTTTTCTAAAATAAAGGTAGCCTAAGTTACTCCTAAGTTACAAACACTCATACTCTTGAATACAAATGTTTATGCCGTGCGAGGAATCGAACCCGCGACCGTTGGAAGTAAGGCTGTGTTAAACCGCTAGACCACCGAGGGCGTCACAACGTGTTAAAACCTGTTAAACATTAATTATTGCTGATAATTTTCATCTCGTACAGAGAGAAGTAAGGGACATGCAGCCTTAACGCTGTATACTCGGGGTGTCTGTGAAAGATAGTGTGTACTCACCCTGGCGATGAGTTGGCACAGTATGATCCCATACGAGAATATATCTGAGTGGTGGTCGTACCATCGACCCCGGAGACATTCCGGCGACATCCACCACGGCGACCCCACGCTTGGTAGACGGTATCCGTTGCTGTAAAAACAATTTTTTAATGTCAATACAATATTAAACAAGATGGCGAACCTACATACAAAACCGCAGGCCCAACTAGTAAATAAATAAATGTATATAGGATCACCATCTTATTTAACATTGTATTAAATCATTACATTAAAAAAAAGTCGTTCTCGCTGTCTGTCCGTCCCTATGTATGCTTAATCTTTAAAACTACGCAACGGATTTTGATGCGTTCTCTTAATGGATAGAGGTACTCAAGAGGAAGTTTTATATATATAATACGTACACCCGTGCGAAACCGGGGCGGGTAGAGACGAGTAGAGTAGCGGGTAATACGTACTACCTACTACTAGTACGAGAGCTAGTAGTAGGTAGTACGTATACCTTATATATCAGAATTACACATAGGCTATATTTTAAAAGATAAATGTCATGTAAGTAAGAGACAAACTGTGAAATGAATGAAGAAATGTAAGTAAGATAAGCAGACGAACTTGCGATCAGCTAGTAAGTTATAAAAATGGTTCAACAACTTTTTAAAGAGCACCACGCAAATTTCTTGTTCGTTCTTCTTGTGATGAGGTAGCTTTCCGAATGAGCGGTAGATTAAAAAAATAAGTATGACTAGTACAAAGTAGCATAAATTTCAGTTTATTTGAATAAAGAAATTTCTATTATATTCTATTAATCCTCTGTATGGATGCTATGGTTACTTATAATATTTTTTTGTAGAGAAAAAAAATATTATTATTATATTTATTTATTTTATTTATTCTTTAATGCACAAAAAAAACTTGTACAAAGGCGAGCTTAATGCCATATGGCATTCTCCACCAGCTAACCTTTAGGTATACAGAAAGCGTTGTGGGGCAGTTATGTCAAAAACAAACACAAAGTTACTAATAAATATTATATAATACATATGAAATGCAAATAAATATATACAAATAATAATATATATAGTATACCTGATATTATATAATGTCATACATTAATGTTAAATATATATAATACTAATACAATGCAATACAGTTATAACTCATTTTTCAGAAGAAAATTAAATAATTTATTCTTAAAAATGGGCTTATATTATACTTACACGGGATGAGGTATTTTCGCTGCCAAACCGAAGTCCGCCACGATGGCCGTGTAGTTATCTTCACTATGTTTTCTTAATAATACATTCTGAAACATAAAACATAGAAAATCAATACATGGAATTTTGGCCACAGATAGTATGTGTATTAATATTATACTGTGAACATTGTGACGTCATTTAGGAATCTAATAGTACTGCTGCAATTCATAAGCTGCTATGAGAGATCGCTATTTAACGATAAAGCCACCCAAATAAAAAAATAATTATTTTCCAAAAAATAAAATAATAAAATGTTAGGGATGGACAACCATTATCAATTAGGGTATGAAAAATATATGGTAGCCGATACTCAGACCTACTACAACTACAATTATACTCATGAATATAAATGTTTGTGCCATGCTAGGATCATGCTAGGAATCGAACCCGCGACAATCTGAGGTAAAGCCGTGTGCTAGACCGCTAAACCAGCGAGATCGTCAAATTTTGTATGAACTTATTCCGCCGACTATATTTGTATGTACCGTTGTCCTCATAGCAATTTGGACAGCATTTCGCATGTGACACCCCTGGTCTCTCAGGCGTCCATTGGCCACGATAACTCTTTACTATCAGATGGGCCGTATGCTTGCTTGTTTGGTACCATCGTAATATTAAAAAATGATTTATTTCGTGAGTTCATAGACTACAGTAACCGTTTACATGACCATCGTAATATAAAAAAAATATTTCATTCGTGAAAAGACGCATGAATACCGCAGTAAGGTCCAGTACCTTAGCAGTAAGGTCTCTATGGAAGACTCCAAGCGAGTGCAGGTACTTCATGCCGGCGGCGACATCGGACGCCAGCGAGATCCGTAGTGACTGAGGCAGGGGGTCCGGCGGGCAGCCCAGTATAATCTGCTCCAGGGAACCACCTTCCATGTACTCCGTGAGTGCATGCAACTGGCCCTCGTGCACGCACACGCCCATGAACCTGAAATATTAAAGTAAGAGATGCTTACTATTATTATGTTTATGGTTTTTTGTAATTTAAAAGATATTTTCCTCACAGAATGGTGGACCCGCCTGCGCTAACGGTTTACGATGGCGGGACACCAGTGGAGGTTGATTATTATTATTTACCACAAAGGGGAACTGACCTAACACCCTTTACGCAAAAACGATTCCTATTTTAAACTAACTGCCACTTCGTCCGCGTATTTTTTTTTATTTATATAAAATAATCATAACATTAGCTATCTAGATAGATATGTAAAGTCATCTCTGAAATCTCTGAAACGGACGGGGCGATTTTGAAGTCCCATCAAAATCGACTCAGCCGTTTCAGAGATTAGCAAGCACAAACAGCCAACCAAATTTTAAATTATAGTTTAAAGTACTTTACTGATTCATATGCATTTAGTAAATAGTTGTTAATTAGAAATCACAAAGTACAATTATATTTATTTGTATAGACGAACTGGAATTCAAAGTTTTACAATTATATATGTCTAAATACAGTTTGCGCTCAATGAAAATGCATTAAATCTTGCAATATTATTAGACTGTATTCTGCCACATCCCTCCTGAAGGCACAATAGGTTTCGTTTATCAGAATCGAGCCAGTAGCTCTTAGGAAGGTTGTAGGCACCGTGCCAGAGTTGCAAGTGGCGATATGTTGTTTTATCGGTTCACCTCGTACAAATTAGTTGACTGCTGATCATAAAGTACCAGACCCAATATCACAATAATCTCTATTTATTTATTAAAACTTTAATACACAAATATAGATGCACTAGCTGACCCGTGCATCTTCGCCTGCATCCCACTTACTTGACATTTAAAATTATATTTCGTTCAATATACATATCTTTTCAAACTAGCCTTGTGATAACACAAGTAATATATATACAGTATACAATATAACACAAATAATATACAGTAATATAGCTTATATATCGAAATAATTCGATATATAAACTATATTACTGTACTTTTTTATCAAAATACGTTCAGTAGTTTTTGCGTGAAAGAGTAACAAACATCCATTCAAACTCACAAGCTTTTGCGTTTATAATATTAGTAACATATGGCGGATTTAAGACCTTGAGGTATCTTTACATAGTACAAAACATATTCATCCCCCCTATCTCTTCGCTTGCATCTTTCAAATTACGCATTGGATTTAATGCAGTTTTCAGTACTAGATAGAGTGATTCAAAAGGAAGATGTATATATATAATACATCTGAATTATAGTATAGAAAGCCGAGAAATTAAAAGAATTGTCATTCGTGCAAAGTCGGGACGGGTCGCTAGTAATGTAATAAATTGCACAGTAAAAAAAAATTTGACTTATAAATTATAATATAATGGCACGAGACTATATAATAATTTTATATGGATTATGATTATGTGACTAAATAAAAAATATGAGTATTTTATCATTATTAAGTTAATAAAACAACACTGTTTTTACTATTATTACATAAAAAAAAAATACTCGACCGTTATTAAAAAATATTTAAATCGGAGTGACGTACTTCATTAAAGTGACCGATGAAAGACGAGCGCATGCAACTGAAATGTTTTTTACTCTGTACTATGATGCTGAATAAATGATGATGATGATGATGATGATGATGATTATTATTATTATTATTATTATTTCCGCAGTTTCACAATATACATATATCGGTTATTTTATAGTGATCACAAGGACGGGCTTATATCACCAAGTCACATGCTTACACAATTGTATTTTTAAATATTGTTTACGGGACTGTTTAAAAATTTGCTAACTATTGAACACGTATCTAATACAGTGGATTTCTGTAGTTCAATGTAGCTGAATTTCCTTAAATGCAGTTGATGTAATGAAGAATGCAATGATTTTGGAATCACTTCAGTGATGATATAATAATACGGATAATTACAACAATTATTATTATTATTCTTTATTTTTTTCTCAGCTTTATTATTATTATTATTAAATGCGAATGGTGAGATGGATGTGTGGTGTACAAGAATAGACACGATAAAGAATAGAATACAGGAAGTATGAAAGTGGTGCCGGTGTCGGAGAGGTTAAAGAGTACATGTCTGTCATGCTATGTGTTGTGGTGGGGTTCTTTAGTGTTGAGATGTTATGTGAGATGATATGTTTACTAATAAATAATATGTACGTTTGCAGCAGAAGAATTGTATTGTCTTTTAATATTTTTATTTAATGTTTCTTACAGCAATGTCAATGTTCTTAACTTAACTAATTTCTTACAGTATTTGACAACAACTATTATTAAACCGTAATCGGTGAGGAGGCCGTATATACACCTAACACTATGGGCATGCAATGCGTAGGAATAAAGATTTTAAGGAAGGTTGTACATATGAATATGGATATAGTTATAAGGGTAGAGGAAGACCGAAAAAGAGATGGATGGACTGTGTGAAACATGATATGGTAAGAAAGGGAGAAAATAACGAGATGACTGCTAATAGGGATGAATGGAAGAGAAAAACATATTACGACGACCCCAAATAAATAGGATATTGAAGAAGCAGATGATGATGATGGAGTGACGTAATTCTTGAATGACCCATTACACGCATACAACATGTACCGTTAGGTACTCGTTATTTTGTTTTCAGACTATTATAAGGAATGACGTCAATGAATCATATGTCGCGTCTCCATTCACTCGTTCAACTTAACTGAACAACGGCAGTTTATATTAAACTAACCTTTGGTAACTAGTAAATAAGAAATATGATTCGATCTGCGTGAGTCATACATTTTTAATTATAATTGAATATGGACAGTGTGTGAAATCAATGAAATTACTGTTTGAAGGATATATGTATATAATAATATAAATAACTCGCAAGAAAATTCACACAGCGCCATCTACTCCCTAGTTAATTGCTTGAGTTATATTGACTAGATAACAGTTAGAAATACTTGAATATTTTTTTAAAATTCATACATAATGTACATATAAAACAATCATACCGATACGAACAATCTTGTACATGAATACAAATATTTGCACCGTGCGTGGAATCTGAGGAATCGAAGTCACGACCATCGAATGTATGGCGATGTAATAAACCGCTAGACAAGGTAGGTAATTGATTACCGCCACCCATGAGCATACGACAATTTGGTAGTGCGTGGCAAAAAAAATCTAGAAAACCGCACTGTGGAGGACTGCCTTCACCAGATGATCAGGGTGGTATTTTAATTTCTGGCGGGTGGTACGGTCGTAAAACGTTAAATAATTTACAGGATTTCAAACTTAAAACATTATTCTTATAACATGGGTTGTGATTATAAAAACTATTGCTATCTACGCAACATCAAGCAGATATTAATATAAATATTTCTTATCTTGCCGATTTATAGACACGTCATGTATAAGGAATCTCGAATAAAGGACTTAAATATATGAAGTGATTCATTTCCAGGAAAATAAATACTGTACTGATCTTTAACTCCATCTGTAAATATTTGCAGGGTTTTAGGGTCTTCGGAACTCCCTAAATGGTCCAACGGTACGTGCGAGAATATGTTTACACATTTTGTAACTGTATCTACAAATTGAAAAGAAAATGCAAATATACAATTTAAACAGTAAATAAATAATGTACAAAAATGCACTTTACATTGACGTGTCAAGGCGCTATGAGTTTGTAATTGAACTTTAACAATTTGTTAAAGCAAAAAGTTTATAGTCTAGCGAATTCCCTGAGATCGTCCTACTATTCAGGAACCTATTAAAATATTCACACAAAATTTCATGCAAATCGGTCCAGTTTAGGAATAGTTAGGCTATAAACACGTACTAACAGAAGAATTATATTAAGCCGCGAGTAACAGCTAGTGTTTTATAATGTAACTATACACCGTTTTAAACGGGTATTTATAGTACCAGACCTAACCACATCACTTACAATCATCATTATTAAGAACTTTCTACATGGAACACGATGTCATTAGCACTTTAAAAGAAATAAGAACAACTAACTGCAGACAACAACTACGTTCATTTGTATGTATGCTCTTTAAAAAAAATCACCCACATGGAGACTCCCGCTCGCCCAGCGGGTATATAAAATACTTATAAAAAAAGACGTTACTTCAGTATCATCTCTATTCTATACTAAGATGGAATAGAATGAACAATTGTTTTAATTAAACAGTTATTTTTTATAGTCAAAATATAATATTCGATTCACTTTAAGATAGCTACAGCAATGCCTATACAAAAATAAATAGTTTGGGAATCCGCAACAAATGCACCATTGTAATATAAAGACTAAATGGGAGATAAGGACATGACAGGGAGTCATTGTTGCATTTCGCAATTTCGTAATACAATTTGCTAATTGCGTAAAATGATAGGAAGAACATATTATAGAGACGTCGCTGGGAACGGAACACAAAGGCGTGCGACGGAGCGAAACCGCGGATGTGAAGATTACGGAAATTGTATAACAACAGTGGAGGTGACATACGATTTACATGGGTTTACTGAAAAAAAAAAACCAACTAATAAAAGAATTAACTAAACATGACTATGTGGTTAATTCATGTGCGGTCGAAGTGGGAACGAGAGGTATACCAGCGAATTTCTCTACAATTTTCTAAAAGATCTTGGGCTGTCTAAATCTGCAGTAAGTTCTGTACTAAACCGAACGTAGAAGCTGCACTAGCAGTCTCATACGAAATTTGATTGGGCACGAAGAGAAACACGCGGTGAAGTTGTGTACTGACGTTCGTCTGCAGAACGGCCTCTTAAGTCCAGGGAACTGCTCGGAGTTTCACTCTCGGCCATACGACGGACCCTTACGGTGAATCCATCGAAGGCTGAGATTTCGTCTCACACCTAAGAGAAATACGAGCGGTGAATGTGAGTGTTGACGTATTTCGGCAAAGCGGCCCCTTAAACCTACACCCGGGTCACAAATCCTGTGAACTGCTCGGTTTTTCCTTCTTTGACACACCCGGCATCTGCACGGTGAATTCAGAAAATGCTATGAAGTTCGTCTAAAACCTACTCTATATTAATTTAAAGTTATACTATTTCTATTTATCACTAGAAGTACTTGCAAAACCCCAACTATAATTTAAAATAAATAGTATAATTTATAATTACGTTAACTTAAGTACATGGCAAACAGTAATTAAGTTTTTTCACGCGCATTGTCCATATTTTGTTGATAATTATAATATTCTCTTCGTAATTAAGTCTTAATAAACCTGATGCACGCGAGACTATTATTGTGTACTTGTATTAGTTACACAATGATAAACCTTGGCATCTGTCTTTAGATGATTATGTTTAGATTAAATATATTAAACATGCAAACGTTGATTATAAATAAATATTAATAACTTTCAAACAATTAACTATAACGCAAGTCGTCGGCTCCGGTGTTGCTAATCATTATCAAGGTAAATAAAATAAGAATATTATTCTTATTTTATTTTTATTCCACACTACAATAAAAATAATGAAATAATATAAGAGGAATTATTATTCCTCCCTTCCTATGAATATATTCCTATTATAAATAATAACTCAGGACGATTAAAACAGCGCCATTTATTAACAAACTAAGCACAGCGTATACGGGCTGATGACTTGGGTAAGCAGTTTATTTGCATGAACAGCATTACGGACAATCACGTTATCACGTGACGCCCGTGATACCATATATGTGTTGCCATTTCGGAAGACTAAGACGTCATGCCTCTTATCCTGCAATTTCACTGCCTAATTTGAATTAGCGTAAAGATTGTTTATGTACCGAATAAATTTATGTACAATTATTTTGGTTCCTGTCATCCCGTGACCAAGGCTAGTGACAACCTAGTCGAAGAGGTCAAGTAGTATATCACTTAGACGTCGAGAGAGGTAAATACCTTTATCTATACATATAAATAAAATTAGAGTATCTATTTGTAATATAGAAATAACCGTTTTTTACTACATGCATATGAATATAAATACATTTCGGTGTATGTACCTATATGTATATAGGTACATACACCAAAATAACATTTTTTACAATTTTTGTCTGTCTGTCTCTTTGTTCCAGCTAATCTCTGAAATGGCTGGACCGATTTTGACGGGATTTTTGTGGCAGGTATCTGATGTAATAAGGAGTAACTTAGGCTACTTCTATTTATGAACAAAATATTTTAGAAAAATAAAGTTGAATTCCACGCGGTACAGTTAGTTTACCATAAAATTATTCGTGTTAAGACTCGGTTAGCAATATAAATAATTTGTACCATACAACCGAAACGCAGCTAAGAAAGGAAACAGCTTAACAGCTGAAATAGGTGAGACTGAGTCGCCTGCGTACAACGCAGGCGACATTTTCCAAGTTTACTTCTGTTTTGACTAATTTTCTAATTTTTATTTAAACTAGCTTACCCCAAAATATTGGGATGTTTGAGCTTGTTCATGAGCTGCACTTCACGGAGCATGTTAGGCCGGTTCGCCCTTTGCTGGTTCATTTTCAGGACCATCACATTGCCCGAAGTCTTGTGTGTCACCTGGAAATAGTAAAAAATAAAAATTAGGAAAAAATATAACTGGCATGGCTATATGTAACTATAATTCATGTAAGTCTAGAGTTGCCAAACATTCTGTTTTCCCAGGACATTTAGGTACTTGTTTTTATAGTGTCCTGGAACGTCCAGAATAGAGCTTAAGCAGCGTCCTGGGTTTTAATTTTTATTTGCACCTTGTAATTTTTAAATTATCAACAAAATATATTTTTTGATAATAAAATATGATTATTTCAATTACTTGAATTTCATTTCACCTATTCTCACTACATATTCATTTAACTATTGCAACTCTAGTACTGCGTCCTGTTTTTAAACTGAATTGTTCTGGTTCAATTTCAAATCCTAGATTTTTATATTTGTGCTTCGCAACCATACTTTAGTTACATATGCAAGGTTTTACATTAATATTTCTTCCCTTCTCTTCTTCAACAACTGTCTGTTCTTCGACTTCTGTCTTTCTTACCGAACTAACAGCATTATATATTCCCGCACAATACAAACATTTTTATTAATCAGTAAATATTTTAGTATTGGTTTCAGTATTTCTTAATATATATCTAACAGTCAAACAAGACAAATAGATTAGTTTGAATCTCTGCTTGTGTTTATGTGGGTAGTCTCGAGTTAATTATCATTAAATATTTATACAGTAGTAAAAGAGTTTCATAGATCACCAAATCTAAAGTTTTCATTGTGCATGATCTACAATTCTTATGATGCTGACAGAAGTTCATTGCAGTGTAATTGAATAGAATCAGCAGAGATTACAGCGTGGGTGGGATGTATCTGCTAAAGTACCTATATGTGACTCGTCTTCATGAGTTGAATTAATTAGATTCCACTGACGTCGTTAGCTCGTCGCGTTTTAATAGACACCCCGTCTGGATTAGTTACGTATCAGTGTTTGTAAGTTTCACTTTAAGGTAAAATCTATCTTAAACTCAGGGGTTAAAGGCTCTATTTACAATACCATGTTGTAAGTTTGCAATTTTTATTTAAATCTAACCAATTTTTGTAGGACAAAATTACAGAATGTGTGAATTAAAAACCGTAATAACCTGTATAATAGATTGGAGATGCCTATATGCATGTTCTCTGCTACTTCTAACTAAAATATACTCGGCGAAATGTGATATGATAAATGAATTGTTTGTACAAAACTAAAACATACGACAATGCTACTAATTAAAAACCATATATATATATTATATGCATTTTTAGAATAAAGTTCTTATTATATTGGCCTATGTTCATTAATTGAAGAGTATAGATTAGAATGTAATATATATATTTATTTAATATAAAGAAAGAAATATAAAGAACAGCTGTGTATTTTTTATCATATGGATGATAATGGAATGTTACACCCGCCTGCGCTAATGGTTTACGCTGACGGGGCACCAGTGGAGTATGATAAGATGAGCATGAATTCACCAAAAATGTATCATGATGATTTCCAGGGGGAGCACGTGGATGTTAAACTTATATAGTACATTGCTGACAATAAGATCATCAATGCACATTACTTACAATCCCCTTTCTTCGCTTATGTGATGGATTATACTTTTTTTTTCCACAATTAATGTGCCTAATAGAACCACGTGGAGAATCTGACATGTTATATTGCTAGCAATGGGGTTATTATAGTCTGTTTTTAATCCCGGGGAGTAAATTGACAGGTGTAAATGTCAAGTTATGTTATCATTTATAGCGGGGTAGTGGTGTACCTGAGGTACCGATTTTTTTTATCGGAAACTTTTATTTTAACATATTAGTTTTAAAGTTTTATGCTGATGTTTAGATAACAGATTTTTAAAATTTTACGTACATATACAGTACTCAACGCACAGTCCAAACCACTGGACGGATCGGGTTGAAATATGGCATGCAGGTAGATGTTATGACGTAGGCATCCGCTAAGGATTTTGATAAATAGGGGATAAATTAACGCGAGCGAAGCCGCGGGCAAAAGCTAGTAACCTATGAAATGGATAATTAATACTAATTTCCGATAATGCCACAACCCTATTTATTTTTTATATTATATTAAAAATGCAATAAGCTGGCAACATCAGTAATGTCAAATTTGTCTCCGGGATTAAAAAACAGACTGTAGACCACATTACTAACTATCCTATCACCCTGCAGTTGTGTATTAAATATATCAAATTAACACTGTGCAGCAGTTTACAGCCTTTAAGATGTGCAACAGATTGAAAAGATAGATACATTATTTAGAACTTAACTCGTAACGTAAGTGGAATTTTCTGTGTACAGTCAGGTTTAGAAGATGTTTGACGGCCTCGGTGGTCTAGTGGTTTAGTACACCGGTTTACTTTCGATGGCGGGTTCGATTCCTCGCACAGTGCAAACATTTGTCTCATGAGTATGATTGTTTGTATCGGTCTGGATGTTTTCTATATACGTATTTACAAAAAAATATATATCACTTGTCTAGTACCCATAACGCAAGTTCTGCTTACCGTGGGACTAGATGGCTGTGTGTTAATTTCGACTATGGTTGATTACGATTAAAAATAGTGCAGGTTCTTCTCCATCTCAAAATACTATGTACTCAAATTTAGTTATAAATGGCTATGATTAATTTGAAAGTTGGCTATGGAATTGATACTTAAATTTTAAAGTTCCCGTATAGTGTTTTGAAGGAATATAATGGAATAGCGCACTCACTTGGTAACGGTTTACTCTAGCAGGGCATGAGCTAGTGGAGAATTATAGAATGAGCACGAAGTCAGGTCAGTCCATCCTGATTAATTCTTAGTGAATTCGTCATTTGCTACCAGGCGAATTCACTAGGAATTAATAATCACGATGGTTTCAGGAGAGAGAGAGAGAGAGAGAGAGACGAGTTGATGTTAAAGTGACATACGAAAAATTTTGTGCGCCTAATACAATGTGCATGACGCCGACTGTACTTAACCAGTAAACAATGTGAGTACTTATGAAGATCTCGTGGAACTAGGCCGAGACGTGTTCCAGACTAGATTGGATTTCTAGATTTCTAGACAACCGTTTCGAGTGCCGGCGGCTATGTTTTGATTTGCTCTCTTTAATGTGTTCCTTTCTATGTCTTGACAATAACGTTGTATGGTTTTCTTGTCAAATAATTCCATTTACATTATATGTCATTTTATAATAATAAAATGTTGTAATAGTCTAAGCTAACGGTATACGCTGGTGGGGCGCTAGTGGCGGATGATGCTAAACTCAGGTCAGTTGGCCAATTGTCGGCAAACCACGACAGTATTCAGGGCGGACCGCGTGGAGGTCGATCTGTAAGAGTGCAGTGTAAACAATAGGCTGCTTTTGTGTATTGCAATCCCTTCCCCCCTATACGTTCTGCTGTCCCTCCGCTGTCTTATATATAAAATTGTTTTGTTATCTGTGACGTCGTGTAATCATTAAATTTTCAAGAAATGAACACATCCGTCAGTCAGAAATATAAATTGACACATTCTTTCAGAACGGCCAGATTCGAATTAACAACCACCGTGATCGTAATCGGGGTACTAACCACTGGGCCACGACGACAAATAAAAACTTTAAATAATATGGAATTACAAAGCAAAAACCAATTTAAAATTATTTAGACATTGTCAGTTCTCGTGCACGGTGACTGGCGTCAATGAACTCAAGTCCAAGGGTGCTTGACAACGTGTAAAGTGCAGACAAGTAAGTAATGATGATTTTAGCACATTAGCGGAATAACACTCAATGTCAATTTACATAGACGAAGTGCGTTATAAAATGTAGGAGAGACGCTATACTGCGATGCAATTCATGTAGAACAACAGAAGAAATTAATAATGTAGAATTAGACGCCGATAATAAATAAAATATTAATCTTAGAGACGGGGGGAGGGGGGAGGAGATTGTTAGTAATTGAGTAATAACCCCATTGCTAGCAATGTACCATGTCAGGTTGACCTCCACGTGGGTACCCCTGGAAACCATTGTGATGAAGTCCTGGCGAATTTGCCAGCTAACTGACCTGACCTCGTGCTCATTTTATTATCCTCTACTGGTGACCCGCCAGCGTAAACTGTCAAGGCAGGGCAGTGCATCCATTAAGCAAAATAAAAAAAATTCTAGAGATGGTTAGTTCGCCATCGCCAAATTTGGTTTCAATACCAAGCTAAATATGGGTATTTCAAGTGTTACTTTACCATGACGTCGACAATAGACAGCGCTTCGGGGTACATGGGAACTGGGAACCTAGCAGACATTACAATTAGTTTTAATGCTGACTCTTTAAGGAAAATAACAAAGACCTCGATTCACAAACAAACAAATTTCTACAAGAAAAAAAGTGGATTAAAAAAAATAATTCAAAATTATTTTTAAACATTCAAATTCAGATGCGATATTTAAATTAGCAAACTGGGCGGTCAAGTGATAAATTTAAGAAATGTTTAACATGTGAATGCATTTTAAACATTTCTTAAATTGATCACTTTGTCTCTTAGTGTATGTAATTCAGTTACATGAGTATTATATCTGGCTATAGGGTATAAAAAGAACCATACCGATTCTCCTTAATCTTCGACGTCGGTTGAAAACACTATTAGCAGTTCCGACGTGTCATTTCAATTCATTTCCCATCACGTCTGCAAATGGGGCGTCATCAATTCTGTTGGCACCCTAAGAAGGGCCGAGATGGGGTAAATTTGTGGGTGGCGAACAAGTGGGGCCGGACCAAGTTGCTATTTGTATTACTTGTCAGTTGCACACGACTTAAGACCGAGGGGCTTCGGCTTGGGGTCTTTAGAAGGATTGCCAACTTCGAAACACACATTTCCGAGATTTCCCGGCATGACATCCGGGGTATTTGTCGCGGTTCATCCTATATATTAAACATACAATTATTTTAATGGTTATTCTTTTGTGAACTTCCACAACAGATTCGCCTAGTGCGGGGTACTAATTTTTGTTATATTCGTAAATTTCAAAATAAATAAATA